ATATATATATATACACACACACACACTAACTTTATTATTATCACATAGGGGGCTAACAAGCCCCTATGCAATAGCAGATAGGGTGTGACAGGTCCTCTTTATGGAGACATCAGGGGTCTTTCAGACCCCTAATGTCAACTAGGGACCCCAAAGAAGCATAGAAAGCAGAGCTCTGCTTCTCCAACTTCTCCTGGCTCTAAGAGCCGGAGAATGTAAATAGTGACCCCAGCAGTGATGTAATACACATCACTTCCAGGTCCAGTGATCGCAGGAGAGATCAGCGGTTGGAAGCGTGCCGGTCCCGGGCCCCACACGGGGGACAGTGGAGCCCCGTCGGAGGGGGGTGGGGGCAGCACATTCCGCTGCACCGTACAAGCGATCCGGTGTCTGTATAGACGCCGGATCGCTTGTATCCGCACAGTCATCGCTGGCTTTTTAATGACACCAAGAACATGGCTGCAGCAGCAGCTGCGTTCTTGGTATAACCACTTCAGTGGGCCGCCTTATATTTACGTTTTGTGGTCCTGAAGTGGTTAATGTGTTTTTGAGATGCTGATATAACATTATGAAATCGGTAACTGTTTGGTTCAAGATGTGTTGTTAATCACAGATTCTAAACTAATATATGCGTCAATGCAATCTGCCAGAATATTTCCGGGTGAGCAGGGTACTTGTTTAAATGTAGTGTTATGTGACGGTCTGATACAACCCGTAATGACATTAGAACAGGACCGGATTTCTATGCTGTAATGCCAGGAAAACTTTGTAACTTTATATAGAAATTGCTACAATGTAATCTGTTCAGAGTTGATTTTTTCAAAGGGATTCAAAGGGATTTGTAGCTGCAAGGGTGAGAGGTTACAGTGGAATATACTGTACTTTTAGATGAGGCAAAAGATTTAGAGCTAACCTACTTGGGTGGGTGTTTAGACCTTACGTTGGCCATCACCTCACCGTTGTTACATAGTTACATAGTATTTGAGGTTGAATAAAGACATTAGTCCATCAAGTCCAACCTATTAGGATCTCATTCTAGGAGTACCCGTACCCCTGTATATTACGGTCCCTTAAGAAATCGTCCAAAAGTTTCTTGAACAATTCCACATTATTTGCTGAAATCACCGCCTGTGGCAGTGAGTTCCAGACCCTAACTGATCTTACTGTGAAGAACCCCCTTCGCCCCTTGTGCTGGAATTTTTTTTCCACCAATTTTAGGTGGTGGCCTCTAGTTTTTGTAATGGAGTTAATTTTAAACAGTTTATCGCTAATGTTGCTACCACCATTGAACATTTTGTACATGGAGATCATATCCCCCCTTAATCTCCTCACCTCCAATGTGAACATGTTTAAATTTAGTAGCCTCGTCTCGTAGCTCTGGTCCTCCATACCCCTAATTAGTTTGGTTGCCCTCCGCTGGACTTTTTCCAACTCAAGGACATCTTTTCTTAGTACTGGTGACCAGAACTGGACCGCGTACTCCAGATGAGGTCGAACCAATGATCTATAAAGTGGCAAAATTATAGACTTGTCCCTGCAATACATCCCCTTTTTAATACAGGACAAGACCCTGCTAGCTTTGTTTACAGCAGCCTGGCACTGCAAACTACCTTTCAGTTTGTGGTCTACAATGACCCCCAAATCCTTCTCCATTTCTGACTTCCCTAGCGGCATACCCATAATTGTATAACCCATTTGTTTATTTTTAATTCCAAAGTGCATTACTTTGCATTTATCGACATTAAACCTCATCTGCCACATTAATGCCCACTCCCCTATTTTATCCAGGTCCTCCTGTAATGTTATAATGTCTAAGTCCGTGTCTATTACCCTCCCAATTTTGGTGTCATCCGCAAACACGGAAAACACGTTGTGTTAAGGTGGGATGTAACATTATGGCACAGATCGACTCTGGCACAAAATGTTCTCCCCACTCACCTAGTCCGAAGCAACTGTGGTTAAAACACTTGGGGTTGTCAAGATTCTCACTCTAAAATAAGGAGGTGGGGTGGTTGGAAGCTATGGAGGGATTTGAAACCAGGCAGATCGTTTTGGGGGGATTTAAGAAGAAGAAAAAAATCTGCTAATTAGATCTGTTAGCTTTGTTAGAGCTTTCTATTCTTTCTAAAAATGCTATCATTTGTTATATTCTTTAGCCTCTAATTATGTTTCTAGTAGCAAAATAAATATATTCAGAGCTACTTTTATGTGTTTATACCTAGGGGACCAGAATAAAGCACTTTTACCTACCTGATCCCTGCTTCCCCAGTGGTCAGCATACACCTCTCTTCTCTCCACTCCAGCTGTGGACTGTCCCTCAGCGTCCTCATGTCTAATGCAGGTCTATGGAACCTGCGTAAGAGGCAATGAGGTCAGTGGGGCCAGTCTAATAACACAGAGGCAGCCGAAGGAGTGGGGTTCAGTAAAACAGTTTTTTTCCCCTGCCCCCTAGGCATGAACAAAAACGTAACCCTTGAAGTGCTGGAGCGGGCCCACTGCAAGGGTAGTTTTTGATTTCCTGGGTGATGGGCTTTAAGTTTAGAACCAATCCTAGTTGTCTTTATGTGTATAATTCAGAATTAGATTGTTAGTAGCAGTTATGGACTTTCTGAACCAGAACAGGTGTAATTCATTGCCCATCTGAGAACTTTGCAGTATTAGCCTTTGGTGAATATCTGTTTTCTTTTCTGGATCTTATCTGCTCTCACTCAGCACAGAGAGAGATGGGATACTTTTGATGATTTCTTCCCAGTCTCACTGGAGGTATGGCACTTGCTTCTGCCTTATCTAGAAACGGCTTTTTTTGTACATCCTCTTCCTGTGCGTCCCTTCCTGTATGCTTTAACAATCTAGTTGTAGTGAAAACTGTATTGGTTCAGTGGTATATAGACTATGCTAAGAAAGCCTTTAACCAGCTTGTGTTGTGAAACATTGTTTTCTATATGTGTATATGGGACAGGCATGTTGTTTTTTTAAACAGAAAAATCGTATTATTTTGTCTCCCCCCCCCCCGATAACATCCCCAAAAGCCTCATAATATTTGGCAAATCATTTTTGTCTGTCTGATCCAGACAATGATACAGTTTACAAATTGAATCAATTGTCATGACTCATGAACTGCATGATAGGGAAATCCCTACCACTATCATTCACACAGTAACCTCCCAGAATGGTTTAGGACAGGGGTAGGGAACCTTGGCACTCCAACTGTAGTGAAACTACAAAGCACATCGTAATTTTGCCTCTGTCAAGAGTCTTGCAATATCTTATGGGATTTGTAGTTTCACCACAGCTGGAGTGTCAAGGTTGCCTACCCCTCTGTCCTAAACCATTCTGGGAGGTTAACTGTCCCTAATGTGTGAATGATAGGGATTTCCCTATCATTCAGTTCATGAATCATGAAAATTGATTTGGGTTTAGGTGGCACACTGGCGTAGTGACTAGCGCTTCTGCCTTGCAGCACTGGGGGTCCCTGGTTCAAATCCCGTTCAGGTTATTATCTGCAAGGAGTTTGCATGTTCTCCCTTTGCTTGTGTGGGCTTCTTCCGAGTGCTCCAGTTCCTCTCACACTTCAAGGACATGCTGGAAGGTTAATTGGCTCCTGTCTAAATTGGCCCTCATGTGTATGCATGTGAGATAGGGACCTTACACTGTAAATATGGGCAGGGACTGATGTGAATGTGCACTAAGTAAAGTGCTGCATAAGTTGTTGGCACTGTATAAATACCTGAAATGAATACACTTTGGGAAGGACATTGGGAGTACCCAGAGGGAAACTTATGTAGATGTGAGAATATATAAACTCCATGCATATTGCATCCCCAGGGCCCAGAGCTGCAAGGCTGGAATGCTAAAACAACAGTTTACATGGAATTGTGTTCTAGGTTTAGCTGACCTTTGCTGTGTCCTAGGTGAGAAGGATCCTGCACAATGAAGATGTTGACTTTCCTGAAATATATTCTTTGTGTCTTAGAATTGAAGCATTAGTGCTCACTGTTTTTAATGCTGGCAGCTTTCCTAGACTTCGTTTTAATTAGCGCAAGGTTTCACCGTGTACTTTAAAAAAGAAAAAAAACTTTCTTTGTTCTCTTCTTGTCTGGAAAATAAAAATCATTTGGTTTTCATCATCTGATCTTGTTCGGCTTTAACTGTAACTTTATCATCTAGATATTTTGCTGTAGATATCTGAAAACTGAAGTGTATCCTAACCGACTTCTTTCTGTGGCAGGATGATGATTTTGTGGCACGGGATGATTTCGATGATGCAGATCAGCTCAGGATAGGCAACGATGGGATTTTTATGCTCACATTCTTCAGTAAGTATGTTGCATTCTCGCTGATGTCATGTAATACATTCAAAACAGCACTGAGGCCGAGTGCACAGCAGGATCATTCACTGTGCTGATTTTATTGGAGGACAGTGACATGAGGACAAATCCTCTCCATGGGCCACTCTGACCTTGTATCTTCTTTAGCGCCTTGGTGTTTGAGGCTTCCTGTAAACTTTAAAGAAGAACTCCATGCAGAATGTTGTTTTTTAATAATAAGTATCTCACTGCAAGGGTTAACTGCTCGTTTTTGTCTAGGTGCTAAAAAAAAGTTATATTTACCCGAACCTCTGAGCCGCCTTGCTTTCAGACCTTTCGGGGTCTCTCTCCCTACTGCTGCAGTGGTCTAAGGTCCCGTAAGGCTAGGTTCACACCTAGGCGACACCTCACCGCGTGGCAATCGTGCACGATTCCGAACGGATTGTCGCGCGGTCAGGAGTCGCCAAGGTGTGAATTGATCGCGCTGTGGGTGCGATTATTTTCTAATGGCACCCCAGTTGCGCCGGGCGGATCACGCGGTTCCGCCCATGCTTCCAAACAGGAAAACAGCCACGCGTCGTGTACCGCAAAAAGAAGGTACTTGTACCTTTTTTCTGCGATTGGCACGCGGATGTCACCCCATTTAATTCAATGGGGCCGTGCGTCAATCGCTACCTGCATTGTACAGGACCGGCTCGGCGGTTTGGGTGAGTAAGTTATTTTTTAAAATGTTAGCACCTAGACAAAACGCGCACTTAGCCCTTGCAGTGCTGGGGTAGCCTGGGGTTCTTCTTTGAGAAGCCATGACAAAATAGCGATTCTGTCACTGCTAACATCTTGCATTGAGAGAATCACTAAGACTCATCCTAGCTTCACCTATGGCAGGGATGTCCAAACTGCGGCCCTCCAGCTGTGGTGGAACTACAAATCCCATGAGGCTTTGCAAGATTCTCACAGACATGACTCCCGGAGAGAGATGCTTCATGGGATTCATAGTTCCACCACAGCTGGAGGGCCGCAGTTTGGACATCCCTGATCTATGTCATCTCTTCTTCGCTGCCCAAACTAGAAAGCTGTTGCTCTGACGGTCATCTATTAGGGGAGGCAACGCTTGTATTGATCTACTCGCATTGGCGTCAGCAGCAGCAGGACTGCCATTGTAACAGAGCCATATTGGGAATAACACCTATTTTATATTTGTTACATGTTATCATTCACATCGCATAACTTAAAACATATGCTGCTTACATACTTGCTTTATTCTGATAGAAAATGTTTTCTCTAAATTGAATTTTCCCCTGGAAAAGAGGGCTGGGGGGGTTAATGTTTACCATCATTAACCCTGTCTGCACTTTGCTGGCAGATCTCTAGTAAACTAGATTTGAACACTGTCCGAACAAAGGGATAAAGATATAGAAGCAGTGTATGTTCATGAGAGGAAGCTCAGAGTGTCCATGGTCTTTCTATGGGGACAGCCAGAGTTTCACGTACTTTTAAAATGTACAGATTTTTTTTACTAAAAGGTAAGATATGTTTTTAAAATTATTTTTAGGTATGCTGTGTGAATAGAAACACATAACAAACATTTAGTGAGTGGGGTTTTCTCACATTTGACCGGAGTAAAAATATACTTTAAACACTAGCAGAAGCTTCTGTCGGTGGATTAAACCCAGAAACATGGCTCTGCACTTGGAGAACAACCCTGGATTCAGCCAAACCTCCAAAACCGTGATCTTGCTATAAATACAGTGACCGTGATATGCTATATACACATTACCATCTAGTGGGGACAAGCACTGCTCTTTTACATAAGATGTGACACAAGGAAGATAGATTTGGTATATTTCTGTAGGACTTGTATCTGCCATTGCCAGCAATGATGTACAAGAGGAGTAGGGGTGGTTTGGGTTTTTGGACTCTTTGTACATCATGTTTTTACACAGCAGACTCAAATAATAATCATTATTTGTGTAACGTTGATTATTTTTTTGAAATGATAATCAGCGATGGCTGAAAATAACAACCACATGGCTAGAAATAAAAATCTTTATGGGAAAACATGTATATTATAACTTGCGGAACTGAGCCTAGAAAGCGTTGCTCTTCCCTGAAATTACAGTTGATTTTATTATCAGGACACTTTATATATAAATAAGAACTTCTGACTGTTTAAGTAGAGCAACAATCAGACACTAAATTACCAGTTGACAATTATAATATCTTTTGGCATCTCTTTTTCTGATTGCAAACTTTAGCAGTACATGAACTAAATGTGCTATGCCTGTCAAAGTAAAATTCTAATCATGGGAATGGAATGGCATCGCATTGTGTGCACTGACCACTTGTGTGGAAGGCACAGAAGCAGGCAGGTTTTAGACTTGGGTTTCATGTGTTTGCTACAGGCCCATCATTTTATGGAACTTCTTATTTCAAAGTAATGCATCTCACTATAAATAACAGACACATGTTAATTGCTGTTCACAATACCTATATTACTGAAAAATAGGTTCTGACTTGAGGCCAGCTTCAAGAATCAGATTACAGAGGCGAGTCACTCAGCAAAACATGAGCATTGTTGGCTTTTAGCACTCAGAGTCCAAAGTCTGCAAATATGTGAATTTTGTATGTGTCATGTTACTCATTGCTTCTTATCTGCTTGTTAACATTGGAAAATCTATATGTATTGCAGCCATTAAAATAAAATAGTACAAATCAATCTTACGGAAAGATCACATCGCTTGTAAAGAAACAATCTCTTGCTTTGGACATTAACATATAGGAGGATCTTTGATGGAAACAAAGGTATATAGTCTGAGCTAGACTGTGTCAGGTTGGGCCCTATTCACACTTGCAAATGGGGCCGATTGCATAAATCTTGCGAAATGCTCTGTGAGACTCATGCGGACAGCCGCGGGTCAGAAGTGATGTACGCAGCAATGACAGCTGACAGCACCTGCAGCCACTTGCATGTTATCAGACATGCTGTGATTACCTGCTGATGATCACCCGTGGATGAGGGATAGATTATTTAGTTCAACTGGTATAGTTTGCAATCAGAAAAAGAAATGCCAATGGTGTGATTTATAAACCGCTTGCTATGTGAATGAGATTTGCAGCACATTATGACCACTAGGTGGAGCCAAGGAGCATAGGAAATGGTGCTCCCTGTCTTCATCTCGTGGTCATAATGCACTGGCAATCTCATTTGCATAGCTGTTTGATTTGTGAATGGTTTGTAAATCCACCCTCAAGTAATACAAATACAAACCATCTTGTCTTGTATTGTGACTGTAATGTCTTCCTTATATTGTAAAGCGTTGCACAAACTATTGGCGCTATATAAATCCTGAATAATAATAATACAAAAAGCAGCGCAGGTGCCAGCCCAGCCTATCTCTGGTAGAAATTCAACAAGTTGCAAAGGATAGCGTCACTCCAAATTTTATTCAATATCAGTCGGCATATCCATAAAACGAGAGAAACTTCTCTAACACGATTCACACAAAAATGTGCTAAATCATAGAGTATCTATGCCACTCTATGATTAAGTGCGATTTTGTGTGAAATATGTTAGAGCAGTCTCTTATTTCCTGGATATGCCAATTTATATTGAATAAAAAGAAGCTGCATGTACATCTGGAGTACCAATCTCCTTTACTACATGTTGATAATATAATAGTCAACTAGTGATTTTTACTCTGACTGGTAAAAACTGTCCGATGTTGTTATTATTTGTATCTAAAGTGTCCTGGTAACAAAATCACACTGTAATTTCAGAGAACAAGCTAGAATGTGTTTTGCCATAAACATCCTTATTTATAATGATTTAATTCATGTTTTTTATTATTTATTTTCCTCCCCCATTGGCTATTATTTGTTAAAAAAAAATACTCATTGTTATGGCAAGCCTGCTGTTGGCCTGAGTCTCATGGAGCAATTTGTGAGACTCATGGAATCGGCCCCCATTTGAAAGTTGGAGTGGTTGACAAACAGGAACAGGGGAAGTTTACAAACTCTAAAAAGGTCTAAAGCAACATAATCTGTAACTGTAATCAGCCCGTGCAGTGACCCCAATAATCGGTAGGTTGATCTCCTATAGAAAAAAACATTAACGGACAGAGAAGTTGCTATTTAAAGATAAACATGTCATTCACTGTGTGGTATTGATATACTGGACCATATAAGTATGTTTTTCTTTCGGTTTGTAATAAGAAAATTCAGATTCTACAAAATAGATTTTCTTTTACTTTTTAACATTTTAGTCTGTGTCACACTTAAATATGTTGGTTTTTTTTTCAGTGGCATTCCTTTTTAACTGGATTGGATTCTTCCTGTCATTCTGCTTGACCACATCAGCTGCTGGCAGATATGGTGCCATTTCTGGATTTGGCCTGTCCCTGATAAAGTGGATATTAATTGTCCGAGTAAGTTTTACTGAAAGCACTCTTTCGTCCTTGTTTATAAAAAAAAACACCCCAAAATGTCTCTTCACAATGTCTTCAAAATTGAAACCGGAACTCCAGAAATGATCTTGTATGGAAACTTACATTGACTTGTAAGTATCAATATCTGATATCCGGAGGGCTGCTGGACATTCTGAAAACTGCTGTAGTAGTCCACGCTATATACAGTAATAGCCATGACCTTCCCGGTGCGGATCCCCCTCTGCTCACAGGGAGTCTCTCGCTCAGCACTGCAACCATTCAGATAACACTTATTTTGTTCAGTGGATGCAAGGCATTCTCTGATTGGACAAGGTGGAGAGACAGGGCAGATTATGTCACAATCTTGCAGGTTTATCCGTTACTACTGACATGTCTAGTTTTTTGTGCATAGAAAATGGATGTCTCCCCTGCTGAACTACAGAACATCTCCCCATCTCAACAGCATAAAGCTGAGGTGTTCTGTAGTCCAGCAGGGGAGAACACAGTATAGGGCTGAAACATTACTTGGTATTTCACTGCAGCAGAGGTAGAAAGTTGGGAGCTCACTATTTTTTTTTTTTCCTGCAGTATTTTCAAACAGACAAACCATGGGGAACTGTGCATGTAATGCAGAGATGAATTGTGTTTATTTTGCCCTTACATACACTTTATGATGAGAGCTAGGTGAGCTAAGCAGTCACTAACCTCCCTACATAAACATGGGAGAAACTGAAGAATCCACATATCTTTAGAGCTTGTGTTGATGGACTTTGTTCGTTTCAAGCTGGTTTTGCATTCCCATTAAAGTCTGTGGGAATGCAAAACCTGCAAGCAGGAGGTCAGAAGGAGATCAACTACAGGTGTAATGTAGGTCAGAAAGAGGTCAACTGCAGGTGAAATGTAGGTCAGAAGGAGTTCAAATGCATGTGAAATGTAGGTCAGGAGATAAAATGCAGGTGAAATGTAGGTCAGAAAGAGATGAAATGCAGGTGAAATGTAGGTCAAAAGAAGGACAACTTCAGGAGAAATGTAGGTCAGAAGGAGATCAAATGCATGTGAAATGTAGGTCAGAAGGAGATAAAATGCCAGTGAAATGTAGGTCAGAAGGAGATAAAATGCCGGTGAAATGTAGGTCAGAAGGAGATAAAATGCAGGTGAACTGTAGGTCAGAAGGAGATCAAATGCAGGTGAAATGTAGGTCAGAAGGAGATCAAATGCAGGTGAAATGTAGGTCAGAAGGAGATCAAATGCCAGTGAAATGTAGGTTAGAAGGAGATAAAATGCCGGTGAAATGTAGGTCAGAAGGAGATCAAATGCCGGTGAAATGTAGGTCAGAAGGAGATCAAATGCCGGTGAAATGTAGGTCAGAAGGTAAACTTCAATTAGATTTGAGGATTCTTGAAGCCATAGCAGTAAGACTGGCCATACACTGTATCACGGTAATGCCAGGCTGAAAATGTTGGGCCAAACAGCTAAATTCACTGTTCATGTATTCAGACAGTAGGGTCGCCGACTGTTAGACTGCAATAGCCACAGCAGAAGATTCATCCATCCATGCTGTCTAGCAATGATGGAGACATCTGTTTTTTTCATTCAGCATTCAGGCCAAACAAAAAAAATCTATTTGTGTATACTTAAGGTAGGGCTGATATGTAGGGTATGAAACTGGGATCCTGAGTTTTTATGGAGTTCCATTTTAAACTGGCAGAGGATGGGAAGGCAAAAAAGACTTACAATCATTTCTCTCCAAAGAAAGCGTGCATACAGGATTATAGCTTGATATTTAACAGCTTGTGCATAATGTGGTCTGGGCTGCCCTCTAATGTTAAGAATGCAGACTGCAGGATATCTATATGATTTCATAGCCTACATTTTATTATGGTGCTAAATTCTAGTGCCCTTTGTAATGCCAGAGGCCAGATCATTATGTTAGAAGGTAGGACTTGAGTATTCGCCCTTCTTTAGTAGGTTAGAAAGGTCTGCACACATTTGTAGTCTATGAAATGTTCATTGTTAGCATTACTGCCTATTACATGTTGGCTTTTCTGATTTATGTGCAGTTTTCTACTTACTTTCCTGGATACTTTGATGGCCAGTACTGGCTGTGGTGGGTGTTTTTGGTATTGGGTAAGTACAATTTAAAAAACGCTGTATACAGTTCGTATTTAATGTAAGCAATGGAAGTAGAAAAGGACTGATGAAGATCTAGTCACTGTTTGACTAAGTAGGTGTAGTCCATGTCTAGTCCTGCAGAGAAATGCAGCTCCTGCCAGTAGTTGGTGTGTAGATATAATTGACTGAAAAATCAGTACTAATAGTTGCAGGGTGATGAGAAATCCAGGAGACTGTGATGTATCATCAGATGTTATATTATAAAAAGGCAGTCTAGAACCAACATTCATTCAATTCATACAGGTGATCCTGTCCCATTGTGTTCCAATCCCTATTCCATAGGAGCCATGGTTTCCATACATTGCACTGATGGTTACCAAAAAGCCTGAAACAGCTTTATGCAGTTTAGAATAAATAGCTCTAATATTAGACCATATTTGCCATATACACCAACGGTGGATGTGGGGTAAAGCAATGGTTTGCATGGTTTTGCTGACTGTCTTGAAATGAGGAATCATCCTCATATTTTTTGGGTATGTGGTGGAAGGAGACATCGGAATTCCTTCTGTTTTAAGGAGGCGTTACTGTGCTATTCCTTATATTCTAAATTGAATACAGATAAGACAACATAATTATGCGCAATACATGGTATAATAGCAGCATGCAGAAAGACCAATTATAAAAAGTCCATTCAAATAAATATTACAATTCTGGTGCTTAGAGTAAGCATTTTGCCCCATGGGCCAATAAAAATAAGATGCAATATGTTGGCCTGGTGACTAGTGATGAGCTCGGGCGTTTTCGCAAGCGCCCCGTGCCGAGCCCGCCAGGAAGCCGTCAGCGCGCAGGGCCAATCACAGGCACTGAGCCATTTCCCGATCTCTGCAGCTGTGGACCGGGAACATGTCTCAGTGCCTGTAATTGGCCCTGAGCGCTGACGGCTTCCTGGCGGGCTCGGCACGAGGCGCTTGCGAACACGCCCGAGCTCATCACTACTGGTGACCCATTCAGACTTGGATCAAAGTGGTGCTTGCAATCAGTTACAGCTGCTTGGCATTATATATCTACCTTCTCTCAGTTCCGACCTGCAGTTATAATGTGGCAGAGGGAATTTGTTCCTAAAAATGCTTGTTGTCTGGTTATTATTCTTATCCATCATCTTCAGTACTTGGAGTCACTGACCCCGAACACATGTAGAAAAGACAGAAGCCCTTACCTGCTTTAATATTTCTGATCAGAGGACTCAAGATATGAAAGGCAGCAGGTCAGCACGGAAGCAAGGAACTAGAATTTTCATGAGCAGAGGCAAGCAATGGCAGCCTACATGTTGCTCTTGTGACAGATTTCACAAATAAAAACATGAACCGTGCAAAAGAAAGCAATTTATACTTACTGTCCTTGGAATGTTTGCTCTCTTTAGCTCAGCAAAACCACTAGCAGAATCTTCACATCTAACACTTTTTGGGGTGTAAATGTTTGCTCTGCAAACATCTGACTTTTACATCCACATCTTTGCTTCTCGATTCCATACAGTGGCCATAATGCAGAGAACAGATGTTTGCAGAGCGAGCGGCTCTGCAAATGTTTTATAAATACACCCCTTTGGGTTGAGTTAAATGCTTACGCCCCCCAATTCAAACTGCGTTTGCCTCTGCTAGCCTCTGTGCCACTGCTGTGTCTTGTAGTGATGCTTCAGGGAAGAAGTATTTGATCACTTAATAGGCAATTCTTTTATCTGTTAGCATAATGTCTTACTTCGGAAGTAATGAAAGCACTTTATCACCTCTTAAAGCCAGACCCCTATTTTTTTCCAGAAGAGGTCAACAGTTGGCAGCAGACTTATTTCTTTCAAGACAAGTGTCCGATTAGAGTGCTGTTACCCTTACAAGAGCATGGCTGACTTAGCAGAAATTCCCTCAGTGTTAGGAATGTTCTCCTGTACAGGAAACCATACGAGTGATTGAGACAATTGTATGCCTGTTCTCATATATTGTTTCCTTTTTCTAGGATTCCTTCTGTTTCTCAGAGGTTTCATTAATTATGCAAAGGTTCGGAAGATGCCAGACAACTTTTCCTCTCTTCCAAGAACCAGGGTCCTTTTTATTTATTAAAGGTAAGATATTGATTACCATCGAATGTTCTCCCTGGGGCTTTTAGTGTCAAGTGTCAATACATAAGTGGTCAGTGGGGCTTCTATATCCGTGAGGAGGACTGTGAACTTTACATCTAATTATCAGTAAAACTGCATAAGCTTATGAAAGCACCTAATTATAAGGCCTTAAAGGTAATATTACTGCTGAGGCCTGGCGAAGGACATTTGTCAGGAATTTTTTTTAACCCTGTCAGGTCTCTGAAGATATAAAAAAAGGCAGCTCCAGAGGAGGAATTATACTCGCTTCTCTATGGCTCCATTAGTTCTACCTCCCCTCTGCTTCAGTGCTCCTGCCTTCAACAGTTCAGCATTGGACACTTCTGAGAGTGTTGGATTCCTGTGTCCACTGCATGCTGGGGCCAATTCACACTATATGCGTTGAGGCTGCGTTGGCCATTGTTTCCAGCTCAACCCCAAAGCAAGACAAGGCGATCTGCCTTGTCACAGACGGGATCGGTTCACATCACCAATCCTAGTGGTGTGAAGCTGAAAAGAAAATATGGCATGCTGTATTTTTTTTCAGCGCAGAACAGCCTCCTCGCACCCCGCTGTGCCTGTAGAACTGAATGAAATGTCACTTGTGACTTTCTAAATAAGGTTCTACCGAAAATGTGCACTGTGTCGAGCAATGCACATCAGCTGCTGCGTTCTGTAGTGATGTAAGGGATCAGAGGATAGCACACGGTGGGGGAAACAGGCATCTGACGGAGGCTACAGCACTGGAATGGAGGCACGGTTAGATTCCCAAGCTGCTAGAGATGTGAGTATAGTACCTCTTCTTTTCCAGGGAGCTGCTGTTTTAATTTCTTTAGACACTTGACAAGGTCTGATTATAAAATGATGCCCATAATGTAACATTTAATATTAACATTTAACCTAATCCTAACACATAGGCACTACCTTTCCCCCTGTAACATTTTCCCTGACTCTAATTAACCCTTGCCACTTGGTCTATATTTTAGTCCTCAACCTACTTAATGCTGGAACAACATATAAAGTTTGTCCATCCCTAATTGATACAGGAACCTAACAGTCCCAAGTTGAGATGTACGTACACCGAAAATGAAAAAACAACTGGGCAGGCTTTGGTCATGGCTAGAGAAATAAGAGAGTTTTAGACACAGCTATATAGCAGCTTTTATGTCCTACTACACCTTGTGACAATTACAGGAATAGTATATCTGGGGTATTTAAAAGAGAACTATGGGGTAAGTGTTTTCCCCATAGTTCTCTTAAGGGTCACGGGAGGACATAAACTAGCGTCCTCCCGTGCCCCAAAGCTCAGTATATCACGAGCTGTTGTCAGCTATATACTGAGAGCGCCGCAGCCGGGACGGATCCCGACATTACTGTCGAGATCCACGCAGCTGTGTGGGTGACAGCGGGCTCTGCCTTTCCAGAGGCAGAGCCAGCTGTACCCGCCCCCTCCCCCGTCCGTTCCGTTCCAGTCAGCACTGGAAGATCGGAGCGGGGAGGGGGGCAACCCCTGCAGGGAGTGGTGACTGACAGTCACAGCTCTCTGCAGGGATACGATCGAGAAGTGAGCGAGCGACGGTATGTGTTCGCTCACTTCCCGATCTATTGAGCCGACATGTGACAGTTTCATTGTCACAGGTCGGCTCGAACTATGAGGTTGGGTGATTTTCACTCAACTCATAGTTCTCCTTTAAATGACATACAGTACTTCTGCCATCTTTATTGCTGTCATTCCATGTTGCAAGATAGGTTTATATCTAATATGTTTATCTCACTTTTTTCAGTTGTTTGGTCCCTGCCTTCCTGCCTCTGCAAATCTCCCTTAAATGCGGACAGACTGCATGGACACCCGCAGGAAGAGACTCAAAGTTTCAAACACCGATGGGATAATACCTGCTTCATTTAGAGATTAAACAAAAGTCATAAAGAAGTAGACAAAAAAAAAAAAAAAAAAAATACAGTTGAAGAAGAAAATAAGCATTTCTTTGTTTTTAGGTGTAAAATTGGAATAGTACTTGCAGAAATATGTTTTATTATTATTCTGGAATCATTAGTGGCTACTGTTTAAATCAAAGCTATCGCAATCAAGTTTGTGAAGTACTAATAAAGCCTTATATATTGTTAGTAAAACGAAACAAGAACATTTGAACTGCACTCCTTCTGCCAGAAGGGGGCAGTGTCATTTCATTCTGTTATCCCGCTCTCTTCATTTGACTGCCGAACTGATGTTTTTGTGTATTGTATTGTGTTCTGCTTCGGGAAAGAGTTTGTTCAATTCTTCATACGTTGATTTATTTGTTTTTGCTACTGTTTCTGTTGTAACCTATCTGTATATTATAATTGGTTTCTTCTTTTAAGAGAGATGAATTTGAAATTCATGAGTATTTAAACTATGAAACAGTTACTGGGAAACATTACGGGAAAACAAATGTAATGAATGCATATATATTTAGATAGAACAAGGTAGTAATCTATAACCTTCTGGATAGAATAAGTAATGGTTAAAACCCCTTGTCAAGCATTTTTGCAAGCAATGTGACATCTGAGAGATTCAATTAATTTCCTGTAGATACAACAGGAAGTGATAGGACATCTCTCCAATGTAAGTGGAAATGCCCTCTTAGACAGTTGTCACTGGAACAAGTGTCCGCATTAGAAGATTTCCCTTCTACTGATGTTCTGGTGACAGTGTAAAGTTTGGCATTCTTTTCTCCCTTTTAGTCCTGGTGATAGTGCTCTCCAAGACAATTAGAGAGGGCGATCTCCTTAGTCGGGGACATACACAGCAATAAGATCCTGACGGCGTTCTAACCCCTTACCAATCTATCCAAAGTTAAAAATGGTGTACTGAAGCGGTAGGCAAACTCCGGCCCTCCAGCTGTGTTGCAACTACAAATCCCATTAGGCATTACAAGACCCTGACAGCCACAGGTATGACATCCAGAGGCAGATGCATGATTGGATTTGTAGTCTCTGCGTAGCTGGAGGGCCGAAGTCTGGCTACTCTTGGCGTACAGAATTTCACTGCTGATAAATAACTCCCTTTGTGTTATCTGTATCTGACTGCACCCACGTCTACACTCACTAAATGCTGCAATTGTAGGACAAGACTGTCCGCTTAACTGGAAAATAACAGTGGTGATTGTACCACATCACTAGATCAGCTATGGAATCAATAGAGGGGAATACTCTAGTGTAAATAACCCCATGCATTGCTCCTTGCACCATATCATTAAACCTTGCCCTTTGGATAATTGATGGTGAATTGTAAACATGCTACATCAGTGATAGAGGAAAAAGGCAGGGGACCGAACATGGCATCCAATCATTTTTCACTTGGTATAGAGATGTGAGCTGGGAAATGAATTGCTGGGTTGTGCTGCACCTCTGCGGTTTCTTTCTTTTGGTTTTTGTAAATCTTCAGCTTTTAGGATTCGGAAAATCAGTAGATCCCCCCCTAGAGTGGCCATATGATGGATTCATTTCTGTTTTGTCTTCTGCAAAACAGCATTACAGGAGTAATAAACAGTTTATAAAATGATATTGCACCACTATTCATGTGTACCAGAGTGGCGGTATTGCTGTCAAATATTTAAGAATCTACCCAACACAAATGTAACTTGTTTGGCTCAGAAAAGCCAGGTTCACCAAATCGCAGGTGCAGTGAATGTGTGCATGGGGAAGAGAGTCCCCCACCTGAGCTCCTTACATTTAGTGGGCAGCAGTAATCTTATTAACTTATTAGTATTTAAGCATGACAAAAAGATGTGCTCCTTTCTATGGGGGGCAGGTTTTCAGAAATAAATGTATTTCCTTTTTCAGTTGCAGCGTATTAAAAAAAAATCCTGAAGTGTCAATCAAATGAGCTTCTGTGATATTTCACTTTAACTTTGCTGACCTTGAAATCATCGGGACCTATTCTAAGGCAGGGGTAGGCAATTGTGGCACTCCAGCTGTGGTGAAACCCCAAACCCCATCATGCCTCTAGGAGTCATGCCAGTAACTGTCAGTCTTGTAGTTCCACAACAGCTGGAGTGCCAAGGTTTCATCATGTTTTAGGGCATATTCTTCATATGTTGCTTGTTGGGGAAACACAGAAATTAAACCTGTTTGATAAAGTGTGGCGAGCATGCTGCCAGATCATGACCCAGTTGTGTTCTGTGCTGTGAATGTATAGACCTAACGGGATATTCAATTTAAAAACAGCATCTGATCCCTCTGTGTAGCAATCCAGAAGGGTCCTTCACGCAATATACTTCAAGATTCTTCCTCCGGGCTTGTTCACACCACTAGTCCACCCTGAACGCACGGCTGCTGGTGTGCACTGAGAGGGACAGTGTTGATGTGCCGATTCCGGTGCATCGCACGGTTGAATTTTTTGTTGTTGTTAGAACTTCCTTGAAATGTCATAAGTGACACTTCATTCAGTTCTATTCAATGTATATGGTTTGTGTTGTAACCTGTTTAAAAAGTACTGCATGCAGTACCATCGCAACACTGGTGTGAATTGACCTTATTGAAAACAAGGCTTTTTGCCTCGGCTATGCATTGGGTCAGTGCTGGGCAAGGCTGCCACGTGCATTTGGTGTGAACGGGCCCTTGGAGAAATAAATACCAACAGCATTACTGTAGTCACATCATAATGCTAGATTTCACCATGACAGGTGACAGCAGAGTAAAGCTAAAATAAGAGCTTACCGTGACCAAGAGGCAGAAGTAGATGATTGATATACCTTTATTAAGGGTCTCCCCTTTAAGGTAGGTATAACAGAATTGCCATTGGCCTCATGTATCATCACTTTTGTAGCTTTGTCCACCATCCAAGAGATATGGTGACATTTTGTGTACGTCTTCTCTGGTAAATAAATAAGGCTATCCAGGGTGCACAGTATTGCACAGGAATGATTGTCAGGTTACTGTGTAATACCTCTCTTCACTGCACATTCTGCTGTCCCTGGACTTAACTTCTTCAACCTGCACATTGGAACTTTACCTGGTCTGTTAACCTGGAAAATAATTAACTGTTTTTTTTTTTTTTTTCATTGTAAACATGCGGTGGGCTGTCTGCTGTGGTTTGGGTGGGTCCATAAAATACTTGTACTTTCTTGTGCTTTTCAACTGTGTAAGCAGAATCTTTGCATTTTGTGTAGAATGATATGCACCTTTACTTGCCGACTGGCAGTTCACTTTAAAGTTTTACTATGTTAAAAATGTAAATATAGCAGAATATTAATAAATGTCACTTATGTAGCAATTCTGAGAGTACAATTCTTACTGCATGTTTGCGCGATATAATGACGGCGGAGATATTCTGCCATCTAGCTACAGTCTTGAGAACTGAAATTCTATGTCCCTCTGGTCTTCAAAATGCAGAAGTGTGAATTGCTGGGAGAGTTCCATCTTTGCCCTTTTCTCTCTGGGACGTGCTTCCTGACCCAACATGTCAGACTGGTTGTTTGTGAAGGTGCTGCCATAGTTGTAGACTATTCAGTTCTGTTATAATATACAGCAGAACCTCCCCTAACAACTGTTCTTTCTCAGCACACGGATTCCTATAATGGCTAAGGCAGGGGTAGGCAGCCTCCAGTTGTGCTGAAACGACAGATCCCATCATGCCTCTGCCTCTAACGGCTCATGCTTGTTACTGTCAGAGTCTTGCAACGCCTCATGGGACTTGTAGTTTCACCACAGCTGGAGTGTGGAGGTTGCCTACCCCTGGGCTAACGCTTTAGCTACAGACCTTTACTTCTTTTATGGAACTTGATAAGCTGAGGACTCATCACTAAATAACCTCTGCTCACTTTGAATAATTGAACTATTTCCTGTAGAGCCTAATGCAGGAGTGGGCAACTCTGGCCCTCCAGCTGTGCTTTTAACTACAAATGTCAACATACCTCTGGGAATCATGTCTGTAACTGTCAGTCTTGCAATGCCTCATGGGACTTGTAGTTCACAACAGCTGGAGGGCCGGAGTTGCCCACCCCTGGCCTAATGGGAGCAAACCCATACTTTGCCCATTCACAACAATTTATTGCTGGCACTTGCCATCCCTGCACGTCCTTGTCATCTGGTTTATCCCCTGGTACTTCCAGGTATAAGAGAAGCTGTGACTCTCTCCCCTTCCTCCTATGATAAAGTGCATGGTAACTGAGTGGTCAATTGCCCGGTTTGGGGCATGTCCTTAGTCCCGTGTAAGGTCCAACCCATACTGACCTGGAGCACACACAGCTTTTTTTGGTTGAGGCTGCATCAGGAAAACAAAACGGGAACACTGGGAAGTAGTAAAGACAGCAGGCTATCTAGTGAACCTTTTATGCATACAGCTAATAAGCATACAAAATTGAGATTGCTGGAAGAACATACACTTTATCCAGGTTACATATAAAACCTGAATATTTTAAGTCTATATAAAGCCTAACTTTTTTTTGGGCATCTAAGTGTTGCTGATCACCTCCAGCCTTTTTCAGACACTTGTGTACGTACACTCACTCCCAGCGTTCGCTGCCGATCATTGCTCTGGACTAGCTTCCTGATACTGACACACTGGTCCATACCTACGCAATGTGTGTCCGCATGGCTACTTGTGGTCTCCATCAGGGGTGTGTGGGAGACTGACAATTATTAGTTTATAAAAACAAAATTGAAAATGGCTTTTCACATTACATTAACGGTTTTAAAGCGTACATAAAATTTTAGTGACTGGGTTTAGATCGACTTTACATCTAATTCTTTTTTCTCTAGCACTTTCCACGAGCAAAAATGTATATAAAGCCAAAAAAAAACACTTTTTTTTTTTCTTTTTTTTAGTATTGGACAGAGTAAGAAAGAGTTAAGACCCTTGGCGGGTGGGGGAAATAATACTGTGGGACTGTCCCGGCTATGAACTAGAGGAAGGGGGCTGTTTTCACCAGCTGGTATGGAAGCAATTGAAGTGCCAAGCTGGCATACAGGCACTGTGTGTTGATGAGGTTGGGACTTTTGTTTTCTATGAGTTTCAAGGTTTCTTTCTAGGGAAGGGTGGACAGCCTATAGCTGTTGAATTGCACACTTAATTTTTGCTACTGCCTGCCCTTGCTTTTTGTCCCTGGACAAAAGCTCACAGGAAACATTCCAATGATTCCAACGAGAACCAAAGGGGATGCAAATGAGTCTACCACCAAATGGGGCAGTCCCAAAAATCCAATTAGGTCCACTTTGCAGCTGCCAATTGTTTTAACCAGTTGCCATTGCTTTCCCTAACCCCAAATCCTTGCAGCATCTCCTCTTTCCATAATCACATAGAAGGAGGAAGGGGTGAAGGAGGTAGGGGAGGAGGTGAAAGAGAAAGGGGAGAAGCAGCAGAGGGGGAGGGCGTGGGCCAGACAAGGTACAGGTGTAATTGTTGTCACTCAAAGGGCAGCCTGCAGGGTAGTGCTATTGTCATACAAAACCTTACCTGGCTAAAGATGGTGTGGGGTCATTCACCTCTTGGCCTGGGCCTGAAGAGCTGCCAGTAGCTCCGGCCCAGTGTGACTCCTGTACCCCAGGCAATATAAGCTGCAACACAGTATGGCAGCATTTATAGCCTGGGACATTGCATAATCTCTGGGCTCTTGGGGTGGACTGCTGGTCCCAAGGTGTCAGAGGATGAGCCCAGTGAGTAGGAGGGGTACAGTTGATTGTGCTGTCACCATCGTAAACGAAACATGGTGGTGCCACCATCTCCAGTGGTGTGTCCTCACTGCTTCCTTTCCAGGCACCAGAAGATTGACTCAGTGTGCCGTAAAAGGTATGTAGTGTCCCTGCCCATGCTTACTGTGTTTGTGGTTATGTGTACCCTGCCAATGACAGTGGGCAAAAACACCTTATGTTCCACATGATG